CTCCCCTGAACATGATTATGGTGGGCAGCTGTTTCGACCAAGTCGAATTGTCGACGTTACAGGCGCGGGCTAGATTGGGTGAACGGGTCACGTCGACCTTGCCAAATTTCAAGAAAGGCAGCGCATAATCGTGCGAAAGCTCTGAAAATATCGGAGCTAGTGCGTTACAGGCCGGCGACCAGGCGGTGTAGAAGGCTATAATCCACGTGACACGGGGATCGCCATGTTTTACAACCTCATCAAAGGTTTCAGGACGGAAGTAGAGAACTGCCTCTGGACCCTTGTACACAGGTTGGAAGAGGAAGGAAGACTGGAGGATCCACAAAACTCCATAAAGGCAAGCATAGGCCAAGCTCTGACGCCAAAACATGAAGAGATTGCACAACTTGGCATACATACAGAAGTGAGCAACATAGTCGGTTATGGAAAACTGTCGCTTATTGCGAATAGTGATGAAACTGGCCAAAAATATGATGACTTCATATTCTTGGAAATCTAGAGTACAGTTGTCGAAGAGGATTTCACACAGTCCAGGAAGAGTTTTGCAACAAGGGAAGATAACACTCAGAAGTATGTTGACGATGTAATAAGGGTGGAGGAGTTGCTTAAGTCCGCCGCGACCGGTAGAGTACATCTACAAAAAAAAACGAGAAATCAGTCTGGTCTTGTACAGGCAGAATTATGAGTTGGAATTCTCATAGTCAGATAGATGAAAAGGAAAGTCTGGATAAATAGAAAGAGCATGGTCAAAGAGTGCTTTAAATGAGAACAAGCGGACAGATTTCTCACGAAAACAAGTGAAATTTCTTGAAGCTTCGACACTGTCCGCGAGAAGATCCTGGTCCAAAGGGAGCGTGACAACCAAAATTCCAACTACTTTACAAATCTCGACTATTATTATTATTATTGGCTGGGAGGGCCACATTTCTGCTGCCGAGAATTGGCCAAAGTTCTTACTGTACAACCAGACTAACCAGTGCAGGCACTATTCACTTAGACCCTTTAGAGACAATCTACGCTCGGGCAGTACAGAGAACGACAGTTGAAACTGCCATCGACTGGTCAAGTACCTCATCGAATAAAAATTCTCAAATTTATAAAGGCATGGAAAATCCACAGTGTAGGATGGGAGTCCAGTAAAAAAGAGGAGACCCCACACTACTTTACGCGTTTAGAATTTAGCCTTCAATTTTGAAGAGGGAAGAATTATCCAGGTTAGATATAAAACAGCTATGCACGGTCTGTGGTGGGGTTTTTTAATGCAGGAAGGCCTTGGCATAAAGCAGTGTGGACATAAAGGGGAAGGGCCACAATTTTTAAAATGAGATTACAGAAAACAAAGTAAATGAAACGTTTAAGAAAAATCTTGATTAATTTTAAAATATGCGCAACGTATGGTTACGACAGTCGGGGAAATGTACATTTATACTTGTATCTGTCGCAACTTTAGTCATAGGATGAAGGGTGATCTTAGAGATTTATCAGAGATATTTTTAGGGCTATTATAGCAGACTCTTCTATGGAAGAGAAAACTTGCTAGCGCTGGCCCGGAGAGGACAGTTGGTGCAGTAAGTAGGATATTTTAAGCCAGCAAAATTGGTTAAGGCGGTTTCGATTGATAAATGGAGGCTGGATTTACGGTGAACTATATTATTGCAAATATAAAAGCTCCATATATAGCATAAATTATGTTAATAAAGTTAACTACTTACTAGGGTGCTCTCAAATTTTCTAAAACTCTTTTCTGGAACATTGGTCTAGTAAAGTCAGTCGCGCAAGGGAAAGCACGGTTTTTTTGAGGACGAGATAAACCTGGTAACGTGTTGTCCT